GGTGGTAGCCGGGCACCATCTAGCTGTATTGGACTCAGCCCGGTGGAGGCCTTGGTAGCTGTGGACAGTTAGTCCTTCGGACTAATCTTTTCCTTGTATCCTGTTCTCTTCATTCTCCATTGCTCCCGAAGGGATGAGACCAGTGGAGTAATCTCAGATGGCTGCTCACAGGCTTTTAAGACCCCAGACACTACTCACCAAGGTAGAACGTAGAGAAGCTCTTCTTTAACTCCCTCAAAATCCAAGTCAACTCAAAACACACCATAGATAGTAATCTTTGTAATGTCACAATATTTATTTTTAAACAAAAGCAGATTTACTAAAAGATGGACTCTCAAGTATTTGGTTTAAAATTTTAAGCATTTCTTTTTATTTGTTCACAAGACAAAATATTTTGACAAACTATTAGACCTAATGAACTATCATGAGAACTGTAGAGTAAACATAGCAACAACTGGTGCCTATCAGAATATGCAGCTAGTACATACTACATTATCTTCTGTTTAGCCTACATTTCCCAAAATGAATTATGCTGTCATTAATTTTCAGCTTCATTAGTAAGTTTCAATGCATCGCTCTATTTTTTAAAAGGTGGTCCTCAAATGAGACAGTAAAACAAATTGAGAAAAAAAGGTTTCCAGCTTACTTTATTACCAAGAAAAATTAAAATCCAGCCTAGCAGATAGAAGAACTAGAATTTCTAAGGAGTCTAAACCTGAAAAGTCAAGGCTTTAGCTTAATTCATCTAGAAGACAGGATGTCTGGTAAGAGGCCTGACAAGTACTACATAGCATTGCTATAAGAACATAAAATGAAACTGAAAGAAACTGTCTGACGCCTCATTACTGAGGATGCACAGCAGAATGTGACCTACCTGGTTTATTCCTCCGGGAGAAATCTGACATGACTGCAACCTCTGCTTCAGCAGCTCTGGATCACTGTGACGGAATGGGCACCCTGACAACAAAAAAACAAGCCAGCACGCCAACAAGGTTATTAACCCAGAACTTAGTACAATATCATACTCAAGAGACTATCTAAGCTCCCCTTAAATGTCTAACAGCTTATTAATAAAAAAGTTAATTGCCCATGGGTGCAACTACTTTCCTCTCTTTATCTGAATGACAACTTCACTGTATGGTTATCAGGGTACTACAGGCTCAAAAGTTACATTAAGCATTACAACATTCTCGGGCTAAGATGCCCATTCAATAGGAGAAGGAAAATAGTTTTAGTTACGCTACTTGATAAAAAAGAGATAATCACAAACTAGCTATAGTAGTTTATCTAAAAACTTTATACAATCTTACATTTTTTTCTAGTCTAAAAAAATCACATAAAAGGCATACTACAGAAGGGAGATACACAGTGTAAACAAAAAGAAAAATGTACAAACGCTGAGAAATATCAAAATCTCACATCATTTTCAGATATAAACTCTATCTCCTGTAGAACAGTATCCATCTGAGTTTAGAGGAGTCACAGGTGGGAATGAGATGGACAAATAGAAAACTATTACATAGAAAAACAATTTATAGTAGATGGAAGTCCTCTATCACTTCATGTGAAAGATAAAAATAAAAATAGACTACTAAAACATTTGCATACATTAGAACACAGAAGAATTGAAATAGAAAAGCTACATTAAGCCAAAATCTCGAAAAATTTAGATATTTTAATAAAAAGCTATCATAGTAACTCAACATATTTATTTTAAAATTTAATAATAATCCATTTGATGGGTTAAGAAGAATTTCTTCAATAAATGGTACTGGGAAAATTGAAGTTCCACATGCCGAAAAATGAAACAGGACCCATAACTCACACTATACACAAAAACAAACTCAAAATGGATTAAGGACCTAAATGTACAAACTAAAACCATAAAATTCTTAGAAGAAAATGTATGGGCCATGTTGTCAGGCCTAGCTTTTAACAATGGATTATCTAATATAATAACAAAAGTACGAGAAGCAAAAGACAAAATAAATAAATGGGACTTCATAAAAATTAAAAACTTTTGTTCAGCAAAAGATTTTACCAAAAAAGTGGAAAGACAAGCTACTGACTGGGACAATATCTTCAGAAATGATATATCTGAAAATAATCTAATAACCAAAATACATATATAAAACTTTGACAACAACAAAAAGACAAATAACCCACTCATAAAATGGGCAAAGGACTTGAACAGAAATTTCATTAAAGAAGACATTCAAATGGCCACCAAACACATGAAAAGATGCTCACCATCACTAGCCGTCAGAGAAATGCAAGTCAAAACCACAATGTGATACCATTTCACTACCACCAGTATGGCTAAGATATAAAAAAAATTAAAAAAAAAAAAAAAAAAAACAGAAAATAACAAATATTAGCAAGGATGTGGGGGAAATTAGAACCCTTGTCCACTGCTGGCCGGAATGGAAAATGGCATAGCTGTTGTGGAAAACTGTGTGACAGTTCCACAAAAAACTAAAAACAGAACTACCATATGACCCAGCGATTCCAAGCCTAGGTATCCAAAAGACTTGAAAGTAGAGACTCAAACAGATACTTGTTCACCAGTGTTCACTGTAGTACTATTCACAGTAGACAAAAACTGGAAACAACCTAAATGTCCATCAGCAGATGAATGGATAAACAAAATGTGGTACATACATATAATAGAATACTACTCAGCCAGTAGGAGAAATGATACATGTTTCAACATGGATGGAGCTTGAAGACATTATGCTTAGTGAAATAAGCCAATCACAAAAGGAATAATATTGCATGACCTCATTTATATAAAAAGACAAGAAAAGGCAAACATACAGAAACCGAGGTTTATTAGTGGTTACCAGGTGCGAGAAGGAGGGGGAAAGGCCGGTTAATAGAGATGGAAAATAGCATTGATTAAGAGTGGGGCTGCACAACCAATTATCATAATTGCTGTCAATAAGTCATATAACTGTAAAAAGCTGAACTGGCAAAAGTTGTGTGACAGATATATTTACAACAATTACCAAAAACAAAACAAATTAAAAAAAAGAGTAGCTGTTGAGGGTGCTTATGTACAAACACCTCATGGAATTTTGTTTCTCGGTTTAGAGGTTTAGGGTCATGGTTTCATTGGATACCCCAGTTAATTGGCCTAATATCATGTTCAGTGCCTCTGTTCTATCTTCTAGTTCATTGCCTAGTGCCTGGGGTCTTAAAAGCTTGCAAGCAGCCATCTAAGGCACAACAACTGGTCTCTATTCACCTGGAGCAACACAGAAAGAAGAAGAGTCAGGAATAGGAGAAGGACATTGAATGTGTGGCTAATTGCCTCCATGAACCACTGCTTCCTTTGCAATGAGATGAGAAGAACTGGATGGTGCCTGGCTACCGTTACTGAACATTTTGATCATAGATTCCAAAGAAGAATCCTGATCAAAAGGGGGAAAATGCAGACAGAATTTCAAATTCTCAAGGACTAGAGACTTTTTGGAGCCATGGAGGGTGGATGAACCCCTGAAACTACTTCTCTGAGATTATCTTTAAACCTTCAACCAAAAATATTCCCTAAAGCCTTCTTAAAACCAAACAACAGTTCAGCTTAACTAGAAAAAAATATCTGCCTTGAGCACTGTCCCTTTTTAAGAACTATCTATATGGGATCAAACTGACAACAGCAACTCACAAGATTGGGGGCAGTGAGTTTATGTTAATGAGGGAGGAACAATTGAGAAATGGAAGGTAAGAATGCTTGCACAACTTGAAGAATGTAATCAATGTCACTAAAATATACATGTAGAAATAGTTGAATTAGTTTATGTTTTGCTATGTACATTCTCGACAACAACAAAATAAAATTTAGGAAAAAATAATAGGAAAGGCTAAATTTTTTAGTCATACAGATGAAAAATTTGTAAGTTAATTAGCAACAATTGTGCATCTTTAATAAAATCAATGGAAAATTGGTTACTGCTAAAACCACAGGAAAGAATTAGGATGCAAACAAATGTGTTTATCAAAAATTTTAAGAATAAAAACATTCATGATAACACTATGGACTCCTACAAATTATGAAATTTATAAAATGTATAGTATGTACTTCATTCATTAATCTAATGAATAAACTGCTAGATTTATTCATATATTTATTCAGGTTAAACTACAATTATTTTTATTACAAGGAAACATCCTGAGAATTAGTAATAACACATGGTTAAGAGTCTGGAGGTAGGCTGCCTGGGTTTGAATCTCAGCTTACCACTCACTACCTGGGTGACCATGGATGAATTTTTTTATGTTCTTGTTAACTCAGTTACTTTTACTCTTAAGCAAAGTGAGTAATAGTACTCAGCTCTTGCAAGAACAGAACATAGAGCTTTTATATGTGCCTGACACACAGCACTCAACACTTGTTAGCTATCATTATTACTCTTCAAAAATCTGATTATAAAATTGCACAGGATAGTAATGAGAAAGAAGTGAGGCTGCGGCTGCACAGGGAATTCTTGGTTAAGCCCAAAATTTTAAAGAAAAAAAAAAAGATGGACTAAATTGAATTATCCAAATTACATCTGAAATAACAGCTAGACCCACATTAAAGCTCACAAAGGAAAAAGCCAAGAAGAAACTGAAGATTGCCAAAGTGCTAACAATCACAAAAAGATCTTTTAAAGCTATGCTGCCAGTAAGAAAAAACAGAAGAAACCACCTACTGTTTAGAACAGCTGGTGTTATTTTAACAGATGATAGAAAGTAGAACTCATCAACTCCTACTCTGTTTCTACCTACCACATCCAAGAGAATGATCTTCAAATTGGAAAGGGCTGAACTAACAAGATAAATGAAGATGAGATGAATGCATACATAACTAACACTGACTTCAGCTAAGTGTTTGACAAAGCTTGCCAAAATACATCTGTGGAAAACACGAATAAACATAAGCTAGAGCCCTGGTGGTGCAGTGGTTAACAGCTCTGCTGCTAACCAAAAGGTCGGCAATTGGAATCCACCAGCCGCTCCTTGGAAACCCGAAGGGGCAGTTCAATCCTGTCCTATAGGGTCGCTATGAGTCAGAATCGACTCCAGGTATGTAGATTGATAACTAGCTGAATAACCATTCCCAGGCAGTGTTAGTTAATGAAATAATGTCATCCTAGGGGATTAAATAGGTTTACAATGAACACAAAACTAAAAAGGATGGATAAATATATCCAGCAAATAATAAGAGCTCACGGACTGTTTGCTAAGTATGCTATTTCTTGACTGTCAGAGTTTAAATTAAAAACAACAAATAAAACAAATGAATGGTCTAGAATGAACAAGATACAGAAATAAGAAATATAAAGTTCTGCATTTAAGCTTAAAAAAATTAATTAGTGAAAAATCCTAGGACCTGGAAATTCACAGGAGTGTTACTTGGTCACAAGCTCAACATGTGTTAACTACCTGATGTGGCTGCTAGGAATGCTAAAGCCACTATATAGTCTTCCTCAATGGAAGTGCCTGGGTCAACGGTTCTCAAACGTTAGAAGGCGTGAAACTCACCAAGGGGGCTTACAAATAAAGTAGACTCTCAGGTCAAGTCCCTCCCCAAGAGAATCTGATTCTGTAAGTCTGACAGTGAGGCCTAAGAATCTGCATTTCTAAAACGTACCTTAAGTGACTCTGACACTAGTGATAAAGACTACTACTCATTTTATTTACCAGTACTGGCCACCTCTTCATCTACTGAATATACATGTATAAGGCATTTTTAGATGTTTGGACATACAGAACATGTTTCTAAAAATCCTGTTTGTGACTGATTATTTGATCTTTAACAGCCAGGAAGTGTGTAATCTTTTCTAAAAAGAGTTTCACTGCAGATGGTAAAACAAAAAAGTTTTGACATGTACTATGGTAAATTTTAGTAATCTGGAAAATTCACTAATGTACACTATTAAATCATTCTCTGACAGTACTAGACAAATGATGAAGTTCTCAAGGTATGCTTAGAGAACTCTTTTAGAAAAAAAGCTGTTGAACTCAGAAGTATACAGAAAACACTTTGATAGATTTTTTTAAATCTATAACTCAAGCAAATTTATAGATACCACAACTTGTTAAATTCCTCCACTTAATCTTTGTTTGTTAAATTAGATGAGAGTAATAAGATAAATTTTTCCTGAGTAGTCTTGAAAATTAATGGATTTACCATTCCAAAAGTAGAGTTTGTCCATTTAAAAGCTTTGAAAAACTTTTGTATCAGTCTTCTAAGACATTTGCAGACTGTGAGAAAGACAAAGAACAGCAAGTGAAAGGGGGGGATGGAGAGCTGAAAAACCTAGTCCAGCACAAACCAAAACGCAGCTGAAGGAATTTATCTTGCCTGACCTACTTCAGTAATAAGACAAATCACTGGAAGAGTAATAGAGCTCTAGCTTGACACTGATGACTGACAAAAGCTACACGCTAGTTCTTGTCAGTAAAGCAGAAAGCCATTACCTTGTCTCAGTTTTGCTTACAGAGCTCTTGGATTTCTGTACTTAGCAAACATACCCAGTGAAAACACTTACCATGATAATCCCCTTGGCTTGGGGGATTGGTTAGAATAATCTTCAGGCAACTGTAAGGTGTATAGTCTGTCCTCTTGCCTTCCTTTCCAAAGCTATGACGGATGTTGTAGGAATAGCCTTTATCAAACTGATTGGGGAAAAAAGACAGGGACAAAGTCAGCATTGCCAGCTATAATCACCAAGGGCAAAGTAGCATTTTCTAAAATACTCAGCATTTATGGGCAGATGTATATTTACACCATGCAATATAAATCATTTGGGTCCTTTATGACACAAGTAATTTTTTTTTTTAAAGTACAAAAATTATATGAAATAATCTCCTCAGGTAGAAGGCATCTAATGTTACTTACATGTTTAAAGACAGGCAATCGTTTCCTGAGAATAAGCATCTATTTGCAGATTTCTTACTTTGATTCCAGAGATTATACTAAATGTAAATTAGTTTAGTCTCTTCTCTACCCTCCCTCCTCTAGTTCTCCCTGAACTCCCACACCTTACCCATTTTATTTCTGAAATGCCTCTTAACATAATTAATTCCCTTAACATAATTAATTTCCACTATATGGAGCAAATCAGTAAATGCTTAGTGAATGAATGAACTACTGCCATTGTCTCCTACTGGGAATTCCTGCCTCCATGTTCATAAAACAACCTAATGGGATAGAGGGGATTTTTGAAATAGCTGGGATAGGGAGAAAAAAAGAAACTAACATTTACTGAAAGACAATTAGTTGCCAAGTTTTTTACTAGATGCTTTTTAATATGTAATCCCAGTTAATCATTTAAATTCTTATAATTCCTCTATGATGTTACCAAAGAGAAAAAATTGAGGTTTAAAGAAATTAAGCAATGTGACAGAAGTTATACAGCTATAGAGCTGGCAATCATGTGCAGGTCGAGTCTGATTCCAAAGTCCACACTTCTTCCAAAATCCTGCACTTTCTCAATAATGAGATAATTAAAAACCATAGGTTCCAATTAAATCTTTGTAGGACATCACACCTTTATTTCAGACCCTGTTTCAAATGCCAGTTCACTTAGGAGGCCAAAGTTAGAAGTAATCTCTTCTTCCTCCAGACTTCAGTAGAATTTTACCTACACTCACATCTCTGTAGAAGATCTAACTCACTATATATTTGATTCTTATCGAGTTTATCTGTACTTCTCTTAAGACACATTATCACTCTACCTTCTATCCTATTCATATGCCTTTTCTTTCCTCCTGAACTATAGGCTCCTTGAGGCAAATTCTATTTGATCTTCGTACTCAGCTCAGTATGACCATGCATGAAAAAATGCACTAACTGAACATAGAAGGAGTCGTAAGTCTAATGAAGCATTTGAAAAGGTATTCTATTCTGCTTCCATTAGATATTTTCCAGTATCTGATAGTCAGTGATTTTCCCACTCCACTGTTAGGTAACACCCATTAGGCATAGTGACTCATACACCCCATTGGTCAACCAAAAGCTGGTGAAATCTCAGACAAAACTCCCAACTTTCAGGGCAAAAAGTGCAGGCCCAAAACCACTAAGTTTCTAAAATAAATTTTGTTAGCTGCTGTCAAGTCAATTCTGACTTACGGCAACCCCATGTGTGCAGAGCAGACCTGCTCCAAAAGGCTTTCAGAAGCAGATTGGCAGGCCTGTCTTCCAAGGAGCCTGTCTTAGTCATCTAGTGCTGCTATAACAGAAATACCACAAGTGGATGGTTTTAACAAAGAGCAGTTTATTCTCTCATAGTCCAGTAGGCTACAAGTCCAAATTCAGGGCATCAGCTCCAGGAGAAGGCTTTCTCTCTCCGTCTGCTCTGGAGGAAGGTCCTGGTGATACATCAGTCTTCCCTTGGTCTGGGAGCATTTCAGCACAGGAACCTCAGGTCCAAAGGATGTGCTCTGCTCCTGGCACTGCTTTCTTGGTTGTGTGAGGCTCCCTGTGTCTCTGCTCGCTTCTCTCTTTTATATCTCAAGAGACTGGATTAAAACACTATCCAATCTTGTATACCTTATCAGTATAACCTCATCATAATGACAGAGTTTACAACACTTAAGGAAATCATATATAACCTCATCATAGTGATAGAGTTTACAATATATAAGGAAATCACATAAGATTACACAATCATACAATACTGGGAATCATGACCTAGCTGAGTTGACAGATATTTTTGGGGGACACAATTCAATCCATGACAGAGCCTATAGGTGGGTTTGAAGCATAAACTTTTCAACAATTAATCAAGCAATGTGATTAACCACTAAAATAAATTAAAGACTAGGGATGACAAATTTAGTAAAAATTAATCTTCTACTCTGAAACATACACATTTGTTTAAAACAAAAGGGAGCACAATCTTAGATCACCACCTGCTTTTACTACTCAGTAATTTCTCAAGGCTTTCAAAAGCATAATTATCAGAAGCTGCTGAGTGGTCTGTGGAGCACATCAAATATCACTACATGACACTTTGAGCAACACTTGCTAAATAGTGAGAAGCCAGAGAGCCCAAGTAACAAGTCATTTTCAAAGGGCAAACTCTTCAAAGTTATGAATCTAGTAATTAGAGTGAAAAGGCTATAAGGAGGTTCCAAATTTTACTTTTCCATGAATCTTTAAATTTAACTTACAAAAAATATACTCTGGAAAGCTTAGATAACAATTATTCAGCAAATTTCCATAAGTGAAATTTACTAAGCATAATACTAGAAAGTATTATTATGTAGACAGGAACAAAAATAAAACATTATTTTGAGTTTATACATAATATGCAAGCTGGCAACAGATTGAAATTTAAGAGGAATACAAAAGGTGGGAAGACTATTATTTTGGAAAACAGCTAAATTCCTAATATTTTAAGTGACCCCAAGCACCTCAGTATGACAGAGTTGCCCTTTGCTCCTCTTCTCTAGGCTCATACCAAAAGCAACACACAAACAGCAGTATTGTTAGGGAGGCAATATACATACTGTATGAGATCTCAGGCGCTGGAGGCAGAGAGACCAGAGAGAGAATCCCCAGCCTACCCACTTACAAAGGGTGTGACTTCAATCCTCAATTTCTATTCTATAGAGGCAATAATATTATTTAACACATTGGGTTGCTGTGAGGACTAAATTAAATTAAAACATTAAGCAGAGTGCCTGTGACATCCTTTGTTCTCAATAAATGTTAGCTGCTACTGGGGCAAGAAAGAAAGATATGTTGATATCCAAATTTAAACACTGACTATGCTACTGATAAAGCCTTCTATTATCAAAAGATATCAACAGAATCTTTACCTAAAAGTTTTGGGAGTATAAAAGACTCATTGAACTTTTTAATTAAATTTCTAGTCATCTGCTTGAAATGTCCTCCCTTATTTAATTCCCACGCATGACTGACAAACTATTCATACAAACCCAGCTCAAGTGCTTTTTCCTCTGAGGAATCTTCTCGGGCTCCCCAGGCAGAGGAAGTTGCTTCCTTGAGAGAACACACGGCAGAGATCTGTACAGTACTTTTCTTGTTGTCAACAGAATTTTTTTTTAAATTTATCTCCTCTTCTAAACTATAAATTCTCTAAGAGCAGGACTTGGTATGGCCTCATTTCAATATGCCCACTCAGTGTTAAACATAGCATGTACTCACAGGGATGGCTCAATAACTTTCACTTGAATGAAGGAGGCTGACTGAACAAAATAAAATCACTTAAAGAGATTTTAATTTATCACGATTAAACAACTTCAAAAATTGGGACATCGTTACAGTTCACTATTTTGTCCTTCTCTATGGCTTTTCTTTTTCATTGTAACAACAAAGGTGACCGAGAGTTCAAATGATGAAGTCCCATTAATCTATTTTGTCTTTTGTTGCCCATGCTTTTGGTGTAATATCTAAGAATCCACTGTTAAATACTAGGTCCTGAAGCACTGCCCTTATGTTTTCTTCTAAGAGTTTTGTGGTTTTAGTTCTTACATTTAGGTCCTCGATCCATTTTGAGTTAATTTTCGTATATGGTATAAGGTATAGGTCCAATTTCATTTTTCTGCATGTGGACATTTAGTTGTCCTAGCACCATTTACTAAAGAGACTATTCTTTCCTCACTGAATGGACTTAGCTCCCCTGCTGAAAATCAACGGAGCACAGATGTACAGGTTTATTTCTGGACTCTCAATTCTATGTCATTGGTCAATATGTCTATTATACCAGTACTTCTGTTCATCCAAGGATTTTATCAACAAAGTGAAAAGACAACCCACAGACTGGGAAAAAATTGGGGAGAACTATATATCTGACAAGGAGCCCCGGTAGTGCAGTGGTTAAGCATTAAGCATAGTAGAGCAGTGGTTCTCAGAATCACCTGTGGATCTTGTTAAAATGTTGATTCTCATTCAGTATATCTGGGGTGGAAATGAAAAATTCTCAGCAGGGGGTTGAACTAGAATGAACTGTTTCGAAGCCCTGTGAGCCCACGTTGCGTGCGGAAAGCCGATGCATTTGCTACATCCAGTTACATTTACTATCAGCCATTCTCCAATTGGAATTTCTGAACTTTATTATAACCTTATGGGAACACGGACGTATATGCTGTCAGACATTGCCCAAACAGATGTTACGTGGCGCATGACTGTATATATTTACCACAATTTAAAAAAAAAAAAAGTGTTTCAAATTATGCCTTCTATAGCATATAGTGAGTATATAAAAAAATAATGAAACTAATAAATTTTACATTTCTTTAAAAAAAATTGTTCAGTACAGTGGGACAGGGCTGCCTAATACTTTTAGGAAAGTGGAAAAGCATATCAGAATAAGAGACAGGAAAACAGTGGCACTAATTTTTTAAGATTCTTTTAATTAGAGGTTATAATTCACATACAGTGAAATGCACAGGTCTCAAACCTACAATTTGATCAGTTTAACAGATGGATATACTCATGTAACCACGTCCCTCTGAAGAGAGAGAACATTTCTATCACCCTATAGAGTTCCCTTGTGCCCTTTCTCAGTAAGCATTCCCCATCCCCTACCCAGAGCAACTACTGACCTGATTTCTATCATCATAGATTAGTTTTAGCTATTCTACAACTTCATATCAATGGAATAACACATTATAAACTGTTTTGTGTCTGGCTTCTTAAATTTTTT